CTGCCCTCCCTTTGGGCTCCCGGACAAAGGCCCTTATTCCCCCCCCCCCCCCCCCCCGGTGCTCGTCTCTCTGCCGATTCAGACTGATGAAAGATGTTGACTGAAGTCCAATGGTGGCATCTAAGTTAAAAAGTTTTAAGGGGAAGCTGCTTTTCTGCCATTAATTTGTCTCAACCAGGGACACACACACAGACAATAAGATGTCACTCCGATGAGGCTGTGTTTCTCACATGGAGGTTCCCTTTGCGGACAACGCTTCTTCGGCCTGGAATTGGGTGGGCGGGGAGAGGACTGAATGATGTGGCGTTTGATGGTCCGTGGCAGCTCTTTGAGGAAACGGAGAGACAGCAGTCCTGAGTCGACGTGGCACTGTGTGTAATTATGGCCGTCCTGGGGCTTGAAAGGCTGTCCGTGTGAGTGTTTTTGAAATCAGATCATGGCGAGACACGGCTGATCATGTGAGGGAGGAGAAGCTCGGGAAAAAAATGTGACGCCGCACGCTAGCGTTGGTACACCGGTTGAGTTTGACAATTGTTCAGGTAACAACCTTTTGGACATTACCTAAAAACCGGTAATGCACATTGGGGACCAAACCAAATAAAGTGAGTGAAAGGTTTGCTGTATTCAATGTCTCAGACGATTCCTCACACACTTCACATCTGAGCAGTGACGTGTTTCCATTTGCGGGAGGACCTCCGGACCAGCCGACAGCTCCAAAGGCCTGGTGTCGGGTTGCTGCAGGGGTCCTAATCCCATGACCCCATTGTGTTTGATTGGGATCAGGTTCCTTCTGACACAGGTGTGGCCACTACATGATGAATGTGCTCTGGTATGGACCGACCTAAAGCTACACTTAGAGCTGTGTAAGCAAAGAGAAAGCTCTCATACAGGGTGTGAGAATGTATTTTTCCATGCGTAGTAACAGTCATAAGTTTGAGCACATTTTCTCAAAGCGAAACGGTCACAAACTATTTTTGCCAGGTTAGGTACTTTATTTTGAGAAAACTAAAATGTTCAAGACCTCTGCTGAAAGTCCAACCCATTCTGGTTAAACACTAGGGGTGGGAGAAAAAAATTTATTCTTCGATTTCTCTCGATTCTCTCTAGAACGATTCGGTCTCGATTCAGAAAAGTTAATAATCGGAATTAAAAAAAAAAAAAAAAAAAGTCTCGCGCGAGATATTTGCTCGCTTGCGGAGCGTGAACTTCCTCGCTCGCGAGGTTAGTCTCTGCTTGCGGCCGAAGGAGATTTCTACGCGCTCGCTGTTTTTCTTTTTGACAGTAAGGGGGCGGAGCCAGTCACCATGGTCTCTACACCTGATTGGTTACAAACCCCATCTTTGGATTGGTTGGAGTGATGCATTCACACAACTATAGAAGCCCATTTCCGCACTAATGTAAGGGGATAGAAAGTCGAAATTTATGAGATAAAACGTTGTCAAAAAACAAACGCCCCCCCTGTCACCGTAGATGACAACCAGCTACAACCATCATTTACCATCATTACCGGCACATTAAGAGCAATGCGTCCACAGATTCGGACTTTTTCCCGGTATTTTACAAATACGGACCGGTCTGAGACTAAGAGCAGCTTTTTCTTCATTTAAAAGAAAAATGAATCTGTTTAATATTTTTTTTACATAGGCCAATTCCATATTGTGTTGTGTTGAAATGCAAGCTGCATTGGTTCTTGCATTGTTGATAGAAAATCATATATCTCAATCATATTTTTTTTCTCTTATAAAAAATTAGAGAAGGTAATTCATCTGTTGATTTTCTTTAATTATCAAATAAAGTAGGACGTGATTAGCAAACTCAGATTTGAGAAAATTTAGAAAATTGAGATGCATCGATAATCGTTTCATCAGTCTGAATCGGAATCGAATCGTGAGGTGCCAAGAGATTCCCACCCCTATTAAACACCATGTCAGGGCTGTGAATGTGTTTGGTTACACATTTGTTATGTTTTGATAAAGAAAACTCGTCAATCAGTGACATCAGTCAAACAAGCCCGCTTACTCAAAGGCCAGATTCACGGCGCTTTTCACTACAAATGTTTGACCGAGCCTTAAATCGGTCTTACAAGGGTTTAGGCCGCCCTCTGGCCTTCATTGTGCTTAGACTTGGAAACATATTAGCTAAACATTAATACACAAAGTTGTTTCTGCTACAGCATTAATACTATATAGTTAATACAACACAGTTAATAGTCTGCCTCTTAGTGAGTGTACAGTGTGTGCAAACGGGCAACCCTTTAATGTCAATGTGTCACTGAACCATTTGCATTCTTGTGACTTAACTCCAATGTCGTTTTTTTGTTTATCTTTGATTTACCTGTTTGTCTATTTGACGCCCACCTTTGCTACAGGCAATAGATATGTCATATACAACATTTTCCCACATAGCGGTTTGATATATATTCTTATATCTGTGAGCCTCTCACACCAGATTCTGGTGAATCCACTAATTATTAATCATTGTAGCAAAGCACAGTGGTCATTTTCATTTTTCACGTGGTGGATTCACTTAAAAAAGGACATACAACTATTTCTGTTGAGTAATTTGCCAGGTCAGCGTGGTGCAATAAGAGGCTGTGGTATCATAGCTCATCACATTTGCTGCTCTGCTGCATCTGTGCCCGTTTGTTTTTCCTTGGCTTCTCGCCCGGAGGGGTTTCTGTTGATTCACCTGGCTGGCCCGGACCTTCTCCCTGCCCTGTGCCGCGGATCCAGTGGCGCTCAGCTCGCAGGTTTGTGTGTTCTGCTGAAGGTCCCCTGAAAGATCCCTTAACCCTGTCCTGACACCGAGCTGTGCCATGAGCTAGATAGGCAGATGAAACACAAAGTGTGTGTGTGTGTGTGTGTGTGTGTGTGTGTGTGTGTGTGTGTGTGTGTGTGTGTGTGTGTGTGTGTGTGTGAGATCTCTCAGGTCAGGTGTGCATTTGCTCTTCCATGGGTGCCACTTCAGGGCGCCTCTGTGACTGCAGAGTCTGTGTTGTTGTTATTTCTTAATGAAAACGCACTCAAAGGAAAAGCAGAACTCGGGTAATTTCTTGATGTTGTTGTAGCACTGATGGCGTGTTGTAAACTAACAGTGTCGAAAACAGACTCCGCAGTTGTTGCTTAGCAACATTAGCAGCTATTACTTGCATTGTGCCCATGCATTAGTACGGGGCTACTCGCCTCAGCAGGATCGTCACACCTGGCTTTAGTTTACAGTACAGCACATGCCCTGTTCTACTGTGAGTTTCACTAGTAGACCAGTTTCAGTAGTCCGTCCTCAGCTGCTCTGTTTGCATCCGATCAGCCTGTGAAGGCTGATGATCGGCAACCTTGGTGAGCGGTAGCCGAGGTTAAGAACATCAAGTCGTTCTCCACCGCAAAATGAATTCTAATCGTTAAGTCTGCAGCAAGTTAAAATTGAAGTTACGTTTTTTCTGGACTTTATAGCCTGTTAGAAGTCAATGGATGGTTATCATTGAATGCTTGTGGTTGCAATTGCCCTAATAAATGCAATACTCAATAAATGCAATAAGAAGAACCCTGCTTTTATTTTCTTTGGCAGCAGTCAGGGCAGTTCTGTGGCCTGAGCTAACTTGAACAAACAAATTGAAAGGAAGGGGAAACACTTGATTGCATTGTGTGTGCCGGCACAAGGTTGGCCCGGTTTGGGCTGGATTGCAGGAAAGTGGAGGCTGAAAAACACAGCAGAAAAACATCAGTAGTCATCAATTAAAAGTAAGCTTATACTATCATCTCTTTGAATTGGATATTTATAAGTAGTGTCAGTGAATTGTTTCCTGGCTTATCTTTATGTGATATGGTTGATGGTTTTTACTTTGAGAGTGTTTCATTACGGACCTCTATGTCTGTTGATGCTCTCGCCTGCATCGTTTTAGAGGCGGCGAGGAGATCGGTGAACCGAAAAACAAGATGCAGAAAAAAGAAATGAAATTGAAATGCCGGTTGTTAGTGATTGGACAGCATTCTGTGATGTGTCAATTGCTTATGAATATTGTGAATATGAATGAGCAGTGGAATGTAACCATGTTCATTCACGCCAGTTGTGCACATAAGTAGACATTTTAGGCACATTTTTCAAGCATTGCACTTTTTACTTCACCTGTCATTTAGTTGCTAGTTCAATTACATATATTTACAAATACAGTATATACACACACATGCATGAATACATACATACAATCATGAAGCATGACCGTCAAATGAGGATATTTTTCTCCATTGAGTTCTTTTGCTTTTAGTACTTCTCAGTACATTTTCTGGACTTGCATATTTCACAAATTACCTGATCACTGATAAAAAACATTTCCATGCCCCCCTCCTCCCCCCACCACCACCATCATTATGTTGTGTTCCCTTTCCATTGTTTTATGGTAGGAATATGTCAGCCATTGACACTGTAATATGATCATTCATGAGGCTATTGACTGTAATAACGGAAAGATTGACAAGGCGATAAAAAGTTTGTGTCTTGCTCCGGGTGATTGACACCTCCCGCCTCTTTCACAGGCCCAGAGCGGAGCGCTGCTCCTCCGTCAGCTGGGTGGCCTTGTCGCCAGTTGATAATGGCCTCATTGTCTCCATTATCTTTGAAAGTCAGAGTGAACTCAAAGCAGGTCTCATGCAGGTCTCTTCTCCTCAGCTTTCTTTATCTTGTTTCCCTGACGACATTTTGTAGCTTTGCCGTTATTGCACAAGCCCAAAATTACTTTTAAAAGTTTTAAGTTTCCACTTAATAATTGACTTTTGCATTCCAAGTGTCATAACATACCCTAGTTAATGTATTACAACTTGTGTGTGTGCACGCTTATACATGAATAACAAGCAAGAGCTGGATCGCATGTGAGTTTTAAGTACAATCCATTGTGACCCAAAAGTAGTAGTTTGTGTGATCTAAATGAATATGATGCATAATTGAATGCACTCGCAAAACCGATATCTGTCCACCTGTTCCCCCCCCCGTCCCATTTCCCCCAACAGATCCAGTTTGCGGACCAGAAACAGGAGTTCAACAAACGTCCGTCCAAGATCGGCCGGCGCTCCCTGTCCCGCTCCATCTCCCAGTCGTCCACTGACAGCTACAGCTCAGGTACACACGCACACACACACACACACAGGCTCTCCCTGTTGCTCAATCTCAGCAGCCCACTCGCGAATACGACATGTTTCCATTACATTCTTTTATGAAAGTAAAGATATCCATCAGTGTTTCACCCGGAGGAGCAGTTGACTGACTCCGCCTCGTTCCTCTCGCACTGCACTGCGTGTGGAACCGGGGGGCCACAGTGGTGGAGGATCAGCTGCTGGTGGTCCACCCACCGGAGAAGGGTAGGGGGTGTTTGGGTGGGGTTGAAACAGAACTGAATCCCTCGTGACGATAGTGGTGCGAGGGAAATGTGTTTGAGTCCACTCGCTGTGATGTGGATAAGTTGTGTGTAATATGAGGCACAAACAAGGGAAAGTTGGCACTGCAGTGACGTCACAGAACCTCCACAATATATACGAACCCGCAGCCAGGAAAAAGCTTTGCTGCTTCCCGACCAGCACATCTGGGTCTCCGGTTCAAAAGCAGATCTGCTTTTGAACCGGAGACCCAGATGTGTAATGTGATAACTTATTGGGCCACATATCTTGGCTGTACACCAAGTCATGGCAACACGTAGTTGCCAGGCAATTAAGGCCGAAAATAATTTCCCGATATATCAGAAGATTCCTTCCTTAAAAAGTCCAAGGCAGTCTGATGTGAATAAGCTGTTTTCCTGCTCTACCCTCTCTCTCTTTCAACCTGTTGGCCCGCTCCTACATAAACGTCTCCTTTTGGAGTTCCCGCTGTGCGTCGGGCTCATTCACCAACGCAATGAATTAATCCACGCTGCTCAGATGGCATCGCAGGATGTGATGGATGAAACGTTTTGTGACTGGCTGACGCACACAAGTATCACTGACCAGGGTCGGCTGACTCAAATACTTATTTATCTCTTCCAAGAGATAACAACTATCCTTCTTTGCCCTGTCATTTAGCATCTATAGCTTTTTGAGGTGAAGCCGCTGAGCCAGAGTCACAAACCACAGTTGGAGTCTGTCACCTGCAGCCCTGTTTAATATTAAAATTCTTTCGATCGACACTTGCCCACTCTGTGCAGGTATGCGTTTTCTATTTCACCTTGGCAGCAACCAATTTGTATTGAGTGAAATGTGTCGTGGTTATTTCCAGGAACTCGTACGGCTTTGTTCTCCCCCTTTTCAATCTTCCATTTCATGCTCTCCCTTTTTTCCCCGCCCCCGTCTCTGCTGACTCCCTGTCTTCTCCCATAATTCCCTCAAAAGAGTGCCTCTTATTGTTCTGAAGGTTCCCACAGTGCAGAGCACACGCTGAACATACTTGTACTTTTCCCAAGGCCACTTTAGTCTGTAGATTATCTTCAATAAAGTCCCCTCGTAAGGCAGCGCTCAAAGTCTGTGAAAGCACAGCAGGCACATTGCTCACCTGGTTCAAAGTCTGTTTTTTAAAGTTCGTGGTGAGGAATAAGTTAACTACATTAGCTCTCTTTTGCTCCTGTCAGTACGGATGGGGGATTTCAAAAGGAAACGGTACACTGGTGGATTATCACCTTCTTTTTCCTTTTGAAAGCCTTTCGCCTCCTGGCACAGTACAGCGTGTTCTTTAACTCCAGTGTTGGCGAGGAACACGCTGGTTTCTGCAGCTGCTCCGTGGTGGTCCTGAAAGGGCACTAGAAGTGATACCTGTCGTGTACCTGCTCGACACAAGAGGGGAATGTGCCTGTGTAGTGAGTCAGCCTTGAGCACAGGAGCCTCTCAGTGTAGCTGCCAGATACGGAGGCATCTGATTACCAAGTATGCTGCTGCACTGTGATACCTCACTTTGGCTCCTTCTTCCTCTTCTGGGAGTGTTGAAACACATTTTTACTTTGTTTACTTTACAGACGTGTGTTGGAAAGATACTGGATTCTTTTTTTTTTTTCATAACCAGTGCAGAATCTGTACCCGCAGAGAGACAAATTGCTGGGTTGGGGAAAATGACCGGCTTTATTTGCCGAGTAAGCGCCAAAAGTGCATTGTGTTTGCTCCGCGCTTGCTTGCTTGCTTTAGAAACGAGCATTAAATTAATAAACTAGCTTCGCTGTATTTAATGCGCTTTAGATAAAACATACAGGCGTACAACAGATTCACGGAAATAGGATTTAAAGGGATTAACTTCAAATGGAATGAGACATTAATATTGCAGTGAATTACAAGATAGGAAATGTAGAATGTGAACAGAGACATTTTAAACCCTGATGATAAAAAAAAGTGGAGCAGATTTTCGGGAAGTTTGTTCCAGATACGCGATGGCACACCGCTATGGCAGACCTGCTCTCATGTCCAACAGGACACAACAACGAGCCCGTCTGTCCTGGACAGCCTCCCTCTCCCGTCTGCACCGATGCCGGCGCGGTGGCGATTTGAGATGCAACAGTGCAGCTCAGAGGCCTCGCTTAACATCGCGCCCAGTGCCCAAGCAGATCTCCTGTATCTTTCTGTGTCATTTCAACGCCGGTGTCAGCCAGCGCTGAATACCAGACATGTCGTCTTTGTGACGCTTGAGCTGCTGTGTTTCTTTTTGGGCGCATCGCCATCGGCCCGGTCGACCACAACCACGGACCCCACCCCAGAAGAGATGGAAGTTGCCATAGTAATTGATCTCTGTCAGACGTCTGGTTTTCGCCAAGCCCTTTTGCTGAACCGGTTGATCCCTTTCTGTTGGCAGGGGTCCACGGACAGAAAAATTCAACTTGGCTGTGGAAAGGAAAGAGTTCAATTAAATCCCACATTAGCACTCTGGAGTCTTGATGACTGGTTTGTCTGATGACGGTGTCCAAACCTGCCATCTCCTCTGGGGCGTCGTGGAAATCTCAGCCAGGAGACTTGTCCATTGGGAACCTGTGCGTCTCAAAGCCGAGCAATCTTCTGGAACAGTGTCTGGCAGTCGGTGCACATCCTCATTTCTGAATGCAGAGTGGCATTTTGCATCCAGGGAGCAGTTCAGACATGTGGGCCGTCGAGGAGCGTTCAGAGTACATTCATCACAAACGGCCCGTGTGCTTAAATGCTGTGCAAATGATTTAGTTGTTATAAGAAACCTCCTTAAATCGAGGAAAACGTAGAAAATAAAAGTACTGTGTATCATTAAAATGTTCACTTTCTCATTGATTTCTCAGTTAATGTGATACTGTGTGTGTGTGTGTGGGAGACATTCTAATAACATTTCTGTGTGCGGTTCCTTCCACAGCGGCGTCGTACACGGACAGCTCTGACGATGAGACGTCTCCTCGGGACAAACAGCAGAAGAACTCCAAGGGAAACGGCGACTTCTGCATCAAGAACATCAAACAGGCCGACTTTGGCCGCAGAGAGATCGAGATCGCAGAGCAAGGTAGATCAAACAGCTGTCCCCGAAAAAGTGTGCGGGGGACTCTTTAGGCTGCCTCCTCCACACTGCTGGGTGACCATATGTTTCCCCTACAAGCGAGACACCATTTTGGAACAAACTCATTAAACTCATCACAAAATTTACATCAGTCCCTAAATACATCTCAGATCATACAAAGAGCTTCAGCTGAAACCCTGCAGGCTACACACACATACACACACCCTTAGCATCACTAAGTCGATGGATTAGCAATGAAGTACTGGAAGGATTAAATGATGGGAATTCCTTATCCACCCTGCTGAACATCCATCCATGTGTTCATTTGGTCTGTCTAAGAGATGCCCGCTCTGATGGCTCTGAGGAAGCGAGCCCAGGGGGAGAAACCCCTCGCCGGTGCCAAGGTGGTGGGCTGCACCCACATCACCGCCCAGACTGCTGTGAGTGTGAAACACCCACCAAGCTTACAGACAGTTTTACCGCAACAACCAAGAAGTCAAACTTGACCTTGTGCTCCTCAGGTGCTGATGGAGACTCTGTCAGCTTTGGGGGCTCAGTGCCGATGGGCAGCCTGCAACATCTACTCCACCCAGAATGAAGTGGCCGCTGCCCTGGCAGAGGGAGGTGAGACTGGAAGTCCCTGTGTGGGACAAACGTCTTCCCACCGTCTTCTCTCTGGTCTTCACTCCTGGCTGTCTCTCTCTTCTGTCTTCTGGAAAGCAACGCTCCTTTTCTTTCTCACTAGGTTTCAGCGTCTTTGCGTGGAAGGGTGAGTCAGAGGATGACTTCTGGTGGTGCATCGATCGCTGTGTCAACGTGGAAGGCTGGCAACCCAACATGGTAGCACACCTCCCTTCTAAAAACGGCTCATTTATGCCTCCGTTTTATTTCCATCCAACTAGGGTTGTTTTGCGGGGCTGCTATATTCACCACAGCCTGGATCTTTTTAAATACAAGGAGTCTATTTTTACACAATTATACACAATTATATTGAGAGCATAATGAAATAATATGTCTTTGTTTTAACTTGTGGAACTTCAGAAATACGTTCTTTATCCACATTTAGCTGTCTGTGTTACCCTGACTTTTGGATTTTTCTCCCTCTCTTCCTTCCATTGTGCTCGTCTTTGTCTCCGATGGTCGGGTAGATCTTGGATGACGGTGGAGATCTGACTCACTGGATCTATAAAAAATACCCCAACATGTTCAAGAAGATCAAGGGCATCGTGGAGGAGAGTGTGACTGGCGTGCACAGGTGGGACTCGCAGCATTGCACACATTCTTGTTTTTTGTTGTCGTCTTTGCCTAAAAACAGGAAAATAAGTAGATGCACAAACAAATATACAAAGGTGCACTTGCATGCGACCAGTTTCTGGTGGGGTAACATCGCCACCTAGTGGTGTAAATGTTACCTCTCAACATTTCACTGAGACGACACAATAGCTGTTTGTGTAGTCGTGAATGTAACCCTTGTATGGTGTTCTTTTTTCTGTTAACCGTCGGTGCTGTGGGTTTGTTCGACCCACTGTATTTTGGGGCTTCTAATTAATGGCAATCAAACAATTTTATGTTTACAAAGAATTGTTGCATATGATGTCCCTGAGCCATGTCCAGGACAACTCTCATCCCTCATTTCTATCAGTGCATCCTCCATCAGGTTACCCAGTGTGTACTGGAAGACTGAAGGTACACAGGACCTACAATTTCCACACTTTTATTTGCCCCAGGACCAGTGGACACAAACACAGAGTGTCTGGTATCAATGTGTAGGGAGGGGTTACGGTGTGTGGTTGATCAAATAAGTCTAAGTTTGAAGAAATAATGAATGTTGAAAACGGGTCCCACCGATGTAAACACCAAACGGAGTTAAGTGGATATTAGTTTGACATGACGTTGATATGATAAAACCGTGTGATCCCTCCAGGTTGTACCAGCTTTCCAAAGCTGGGAAGCTTTGTGTCCCAGCCATGAACGTCAACGACTCGGTGACCAAGCAGAAGTTTGACAACCTCTACTGCTGCAGGGAGTCCATCCTAGACGGGTAGGACACGTTCTCCTTCTCAACCTAGTTAGGGGCTATAAAACAAAGCAGGCTTGTTGTTTGAGCATGCGGTGTTGCAGGGCGAGTGACGCCAACATCTCCTCTGCTCTGAACGGTCTGAATAAATGTTATGGCCACCAGAATGATTGTGATTTCTATCCTAACCTAAGCCTGAAGAGGACCACTGATGTCATGTTTGGAGGCAAACAGGTGGTGGTGTGTGGATACGGAGAGGTAAGGCCCGAACACAGTGCTCATTCACTGAGAGAACCTATGTGAGATTTGCCCTGAAAATACAACACGGGGGAAGTTACATTAAGCTAGAATAAAGCTTTTTAGAGATTTAGACGTACGTTAAAAGACAAATATTCGAACTTAGGAAACTTGCAATAGCTGCAAACAATGGCTAAATGGCCCAAACCACAGTGCGTTACCGTATGATAACATCCCATGTCTATTGTGGCCAGGTGGGAAAAGGCTGCTGCGCCGCCCTCAAAGCAATGGGCTCCATCGTCTATGTGACAGAGATCGACCCCATCTGCGCCCTGCAGGCCTGGTAAGACTCGGCTCGTCGAGGTCCCTCGCGCCTCGCTACGACTGTCCACATTGTGTCAGTAACACGCTCTGTATCGTCTCTCCCACCGACACAGCATGGACGGCTTCAGGCTGGTGAAACTGAACGAAGTCATCAGACAGGTGGACATTGTCATCACCTGCACAGGTCGGTTCAGCCGCCGTCTCTCTCTTTCTCTTTCTCTATAATTTGTATTCTCTCTAGAAATGAGAATCTGTTGTTCACTTTTAAATAGATGCGCGAGGAACTTGCTATTCTGTCAGCGCTCGTTGGGGATGACTGGACAGATTTTCAGTCATCGTCGTTAAAGTCTAACCTCCATTAATCAAGTTCTCAGCCCAGCAGCCGGGGAGTGGTGCCGAACACTTAATTAGAGCAGAGAATGACTTGCTCTGCTTCATTACCTCACGTTGCCGGCAGGCCTGAGGCGGAGAGCTCTCCTCGGGCGGCCGCAGTCCAACAGAAGAGATAATAAAGTGTAGGAAGGAGCGTGGCTTTCGTGCCAGACTTTCCTAATAAAGTGGTGTCAAACTGATACAACAGGACAATAATTTGATTTTAATGGTAACATTTGATTAGGTTGGAATAGAAATATGGGAATATCTTCCTCTTTGGTACTGCTAAGAAATCATGTAGGAAATACTTCATATCGTTTACCTTACCAGTGGTTCTCAACTGGTCTGGCTCTGGAACCCACCAACACCCGTTAATGACAAGCCGCGACCCAAATCGAGGAACATTCTCAAAATATGGTGCAGTTTGAACCTGAGATAGTATGGAGACAGAATACGTATGCCAACACAAAAACAAGTTTAATAAAAAAACAAAACAGCCAGCTGGTAGCGATGCTAGAGAGGGAACTATAACCCTTTAACACTAAATTAGCTAAAAAAAACAAAGTGTATCTTAAGGACATGAGGTATTACAACATACATAACAATTAATTAATTAACAAACTCAACAGCTTTCATGCACAAACAAAAAAGTCGCAAAAAAGACTCAAATTACCTAACTAACAGATCTATGACAAACACTATGTCTTGAGGAGCAGCTTTTGCACAAATTCAAAATAAATTCAAAAGGATCAGATATACAAAATGAACGTTTCTTGTGGTTACCTCATTAGGAGGTAAATCCTGAAAAACATTGCGCTTTACAGAAAATTAAGCAGCACTCACTTCAACCTGAGGTGAAAACTGACAGACTTGAGTCTGGAGGAATTTGTCATGGGAGAACTGGGGATGTTTTTTGCTCTTGGCAAGAGTCTCAAAGTCTGGAATTATAGTGGACAAGGCCAGAATGAGGTCATGCTCGATGTCCAGTTTATTCCTGTGTTTAGTCTTCAGCTGAACCAGAGCTGAGAAGCCACACTCACAGAGATAGGTAGTGCTGAAGGGTAGCAGGACTTTTACTGCTCGAGTGGCGAGGGAAGGATTCTTGCTGATCACGCTGCTGCACCAGAACTGGAAGAGGCTTACCTCCGCGTACGGTCACATGACCGCTCCATCAGCTGACTCTCCGTTGCTTGGCAATGTGACACTTTTTCCATTTCCGATTCCAAACGGGTCACGTATCCAGTCGTCATCCCTCTGTTTCTCGGGAAAGTAGTCATTAAACCGCTTCAGAAGTTTATTCAGATGCTTTGTGATTGTTTTCTCCCTTACATTCTTGTCTGCCGTTGCCAGAATGGTTTGACCCAACCTGGCACACACTGCTGAAAACATGGACGGACGAGCCGGCAAAAAAACCTGACACTCCGCTGCATTAAAAAAGTCCCCTCAAAATAAAATCACAGGAGGATTTTTTTATTTATTTTAATTTTAATTTTTCCAGGCAAAGGCCTGCGACCCATTAAAAACGGGTCCGTGACCCACAAGTTGAGAATCACTGCTTTACCTGTTTGGGTCATCGTCGCATACAGCTCTTTCTTTTCACAGCTTTGCTTTCTCACTGTTTTAACCTCTTGCTCTTTGTGCATTTGTCCTCCTCTTTCCGTTGTCTTTTGTTTCCTTTCTTTCTCCATCAGGCAATAAGAACGTGGTGGTGAGGGAGTACCTCGACCGCATGAAGAACGGCTGCATCGTCTGCAACATGGGACACTCCAACACTGAGATCGATGTGGTCAGTTTGTGACCGCTTGCAAAAACTTGGGAAATGAATAATGGCACATTAATACACACCAAGGGACATGAATGAATCACAGGAACTAAAGTCCAGCAGCAAACTGCTTGAGTGCTGTATAGGAAACTTGTTATCCCCTCTGCGCAGAACTAGTTATGTATTTGATCTCTTCTTTTACCAATCTGACCTTTCACAATCCCCTAATGAAAAGTTCTGAGCTTAGTTTATAATCTGATTGTATTTTGCTGACCATAAAACAGGGACACTGACGTGTTAGAACACAAATACAAGAGGAAAAGTAGTTCCGACCCAAAGTTGTGACGTCTTGTTGTTTTTCACTGTACTGGAAGAGAAATGAGCCTCTTCCCGGCACGATGGACATATGGCGACTCGGCCCGACAGAAAATAAGAGGTGGAAACAAACCATCGCTCATGATGTTGTGCTCATCTTGTAGGCGAGCCTGAGGACTCCTGAGCTGACCTGGGAGAGAGTGCGCTCGCAGGTGGACCACGTCATCTGGCCTGATGGCAAGAGGATAGTGCTGCTGGCTGAGGTACACTTTGGGGCTCGCAGTCTCACCTAGAAGACTTGAAAGAACATCTCCTTATGGGAGCTTTATATCTTCGTTACACAGATATAGTGTTACAAAATGTACGATAGATCAAACAACCACAGAGACACATGGTACGTGTGTGCGTGTGACAGAATGAGAGCAGTCTTTCTGCTGCTGTTTGCTCTCCAGCAGGTTTCAACCGCATCAGTAGACTCCGCCTCTCGGCCTTCACCTCTCCCGCCTCCACCACCACACTCTGTTCCAATAAATCACATGTATCCATTGAAGTAATGCATCATTTTGATGTCATTCTGAAATGAACATAATTTCAGAAAGCTGGTTTTAGCTTTCCCCCTTTACATCATAAAATATCCTGGTATGTGCTTGTCTCAATCACTAAATTAGAATGAGCCAGATGAGTCACAAAGATGAGTGTAGGCAGATGAGTTTAGTTATGGATGAGGTAATAAAGGCTCAAAAGGGCACAATAGCTAACCGCCTCTGCTGTAATTCTTAACACCCATCATCTTAAGGAAATGGGACTAATTGCAGGTTTGAGTTGGAACAGTAATTTTGTTGTCTTATTTTTGTGTGCGCGCGCACTGGAAATCAAAACCTTTTCCACCAACTTTAATTCTGCTTTTTATATTACAACAACAGTACACTTGCTTTCTGTTCCCCCTTCATCGGAGCTACAGAGTGTTTCGGTTTTACACACCAACTACCTAAGAAGGTTCCCTCACTGCAATGCAGCATCCTAAACAACAGTTTAGCATTTTCGGGGCAAAACAAAATAACCTGGTTGATGTAAATTGCCGTCGAAGTTTCAAAAGATGCCTGATAACTTTTCCGACATGTTGGTCAACTTCCCTGCAGGCTGCACCTCGCGGTCCTTTTGTTCTCTCAAGTGCTTTGTCTTCCCCCGCAGGGTCGCCTGCTGAACCTCAGCTGTTCCACTGTGCCCACCTTTGTGCTCTCCATCACCGCCACCACCCAGGTAAAAAAAAAAAAAACTCATTCACGGCCATTGCATCCGTCAATTTAATAATTAACATTTCTCACTTTGCTTCTGTTTACCACTAGTAGAGAATTTGAAGCAATGAGTGTTGTTTTTTTTGTGCCTGAGTAACACTGGTGTGTCTCTGCTCAGGCGCTGGCTCTGATAGAGCTGTACAACGCCCCGGAGGGACGCTACAAACAGGACGTTTACCTGCTCCCCAAGAAGATGGGTAAGCTTTGATATTGCAAGCGGACTGCTGAATACACTGATACGCAGCATAGAAGTAAGTGCACCAAGAAAGATATAAAGCCAGGGAGATACATAATAGCCTTGTTTGGTACTTAAGTAGCCACCAAGCAGGACGTTACTTGCAGCCTTTACCCACAGCAGAGAGGCCTGAAGCCTGTCTGTGTCTGTGTGCGTGCATGCATGCGTACAGCCCACAGTGTCTGCAGTGTTGCCTCGGTGGGTCACAGCACACACATGGTAAATGAAAGACGGGGAGTCAAAACAATGTAGGTCAGCCCCCATCCAATGCTGCTGCTGTTACTACAGCACACGCATGACGTGACAGAGAGATGGTGAGAAAGCGGGAAAGCACTGCAGGGTAGAGATGAGGAAGGACAGGAAGTAAAGCCGCAGGGAAGGGTTAGGAGAGAGAAAAGCACAGGGGGGGAGATGGAGGGACGTTGAACGTTTTAGAGCGTCTGTCTCGCTTGTCTCATTCCGCCTGCAGAGCGTGAACAGGTTCTCTCTCTCTCTCTCTCTCCCTCCCTCGCCCCCCCCAGACGAATACGTGGCTAGCCTCCACCTCCCCACGTTCGACGCACACCTCACAGAGCTGAGTGACGAGCAGGCCAAGTATCTGGGCCTGAACAAGAATGGGCCCTTCAAGCCAAACTACTACAGGTATGGAAGCACTTCCACGCACCTTTCTGGAGATACACTCTGGCACCCGGCTTGAGTCGCGCCGTCGGCTTTACGGCGACTCCGCATCCTAACCTGCTCGCTTTGCTCCTTTTTCCATCGAGGTATTAAAACCGGTGTCGGACTGAAAAAAAGTTCAAATACTCCGTGGGATGCCACCGACTCATTGAAGGAGAGGAGGAGGATGAGGAGAAGAGAAGGAAGGACGGCTGGGCGGAACAGTCAACACACATGCTTTATATTTCTTTGGGGGGGTGGGGGAGGCTCTGGGACACTGAGTCTGAGATGGAGGAGAAGGGGCGTGGCGTTTCCTGCGCTTAAGGCAGCCGTTTTAATTTATTCTAACTTAACAATAATTATAACATTAACTGTGACTGCCATTGGCCATTAGCTAGTTCTCCTGGAAGACGTTTTACTCCTCTTCCACTCAACATTTCACCACCATCGTCTCTTTTCTCTTTCGTCGCTCATTCGTGTGTGGAGTTGTCGAGTTGTTCCTCCAATCCTCCCTTGCCATTTTCAGATTTTTTTATTGTTTTAAGAGGAAATTATTCATGCTGAAAAGATATATACTATATTGAAAAGAAGCATCCGTGTGAATGAACATGGCCGTTTGAGATTTAGTGACGGATACCTTTTCATGTTCCTTTTTTTTGGTCATCTTTTTCTTTTTTTACTACCTGTGATTTGTTTTTTCTCTTGTGTAATATTGCAAGGTTGGGGTTAGACCTAGTGGGTGGGCATAGGCGGGATCTCCGGGTCCAATCATATCGTGTCTTTTATTTGATCGTTTTCGTTGAGATTCTCGGTTGCGTCTGTTTTTAAACATTTTTCTATGTCCTTTCGGATCAGCCTGGACAGTCAAAGCCACAGTGAAACCATCTCATCGGCTTCCATCTCACTGCTTCTCGGCTTGCTGCTGAGCCCACCTCGCCATTGTTGAAGTAATAAGTATTTCATGCTTGCAAGCGCTAACCACTTCGTTTAGTCTTTCTTTACCAAGAATAACTACTATATTTGAAGCATGACAGGTTGTCAGATCATTACAAGCGGTATACTGTATATTTAGATGTTTATATTGAAATTAAAATGTTTCTATCTTCTCTCCTGCATCATCTAATAGCATTACTTTTGAACAAAAAAAAAAATCAACATAAGCAATCAATACTCGTGTAATAGATTTACTGAAGCCCTCAATTTGAATACTGTGATAGAAAATATTTACAGAAATACCAAACGAGCAGCAAGTTGCGACCTGGCCAGTAGATGGATATCTTCAATCGGGTCCTCTTTAAAAAGCATGGGGCTGTTAAGACTTACTGTCTTTACCACACAAACCACAACTGGTACTCACGGAAGACGTCAAGGGGTTCAGTTAGAAAAATATAATCTGGGACCTGAATGCTACAATGAATCACGTTCTTTTCCTCCGCTAAGCACGTTTACCGTTGCTGCAAATTCACAAACATTTACCAGTAAATGGATCTCCAAAACTTGGCGTTCTATCTTATATATATTTTATTTGTCCCCCCCACACCTGAGAGGTTTAGTCTCTACCGGCATACTGACATGCACGGTCGTCATGATCGGCAGCTCGTCCCCAGCTGACCTGCCGGTGGACATTAGGAGGTCCTGACAGTCATTTCACCTGACAGCCGAGTGCACCCCGCTGCCAGCTCTGCTTCCACAGAGAAGGATCAAATGCTGAAACACGCAAACACACACAGAGGCTCTCTGTCCCGTTCTGGAATGCGCTGCACCTTTTTTAAGGAAAATCTATTTGATCATACTACAGATTTTGAAATGGCATAAAACACTTTGTTTACCAGTTTAATAAATACTTCTGCCTACTCAAAATACAAATATGCACACGTTATGCATTTTTTGTTATGAGTAAGATCATTACACAATATTTAAAGTCTTTAAAGGAGTTTTTAGACAGTTTGGTAAATGGTCATAGTCCCCTTCTTGCTGAGAGTTAAGAAAATGTACCGGACTCTTATTTTTGTATGAGAAATCTATGTCTAAATTGGGTAAAAGCAAATTGAAATCTAAATAAAATATACATTTTAATGGTGCATATGAACACAAACATAGCATATTGCCACCATGTAAAGACCAGATCGTACACTGTGTCATGGCCCACACAACCACAATATCTCTCTGTCCTTGTGCTGTTGAAACCCCCCCACCCCCCCACACACACTTCAAGCAGGGTGACCTGTTGTTCGGTGGAGATCTCAAACTGTTGTCGTGAGTCTTATTTTTCTCTTTTGAAAGTGTGAATGTGTGTCATAAAGATTGTTCCCTCTTGAGAGAAAGCTGAGGTGATTCCAGATGAAGACGTGTGTCTGTGAATGTCTTTCCGTGTTTGTTCACATCGTTTTTCATTGGCCACGGTTGCGTTATTTTTTTATTGCTTTGTCAGCCGTAAGCTGACCAACAAACGGGTGGGCGGGGAGGGGACACCAGCATCATATGTGTGTATGCATACATTATACAGATACGACAGACATTTAAAAGTATAGAAAGGCAAAAGAAGAATCCACTCCTGTATTTATTGACGTAAATCCTCTTTCAGTGCAAACCAGGCAAAAAGATCTCCAAATGTTTAAAGTTGTCTAATAAAGAAACTTGTTTAAATATTGCAAGTGATAATGGTAGATGATGAGCAATAATTTAAAAACCGTCTGTAATCTTAATGAATAAAGATGTAAAAATTGAACGGACTCTCTCTCTCTCTCTGTGTGTGTGTGTGTGTGTGTGTGTGTGTGTGTGTGTGTGTGTGTGTGTGTGTGTGTGTGTGTGTGTGTGTGTGTGTGTGTGTGTGTGTGTGTGTGTGTGTGTGTGTGTGTGTCGTGTGTGTGTGTGTTTTCATAGCGCTGTGTTCATGTGTGTTGGGGGAGGGGAAGCCCATGTGTGCAGCTGCGGTGGTCTGTCAGGGATCCACGGTGATCTCATCTGAGCCAGCGAACAGGCAGGGACGTCTCTGACATCGACAGCCGGCTCTGAGCCTTTTATTTATTCTTGACTGCACAAATCAGAAGGTTAAGTTTGTGAAAGTGAACGTTTTTCAGAACATTGCTTCCTCAATCAGATATAAGATCAAGTTCAAATGCTTTCATCTGTATGATTTTACATGGTTCTAAGAGAAAGGTTGTTGTTTTTTTAAATCAAACTTCACATACATAATATTTCATGTGTTCCATCAAAAATACTCGTCTGCAAGTCAAGTACTTCTGAGCCTGTGAACATCATTTTAAAATGTCTTCGGGATCAGGACGAGCTTTCTTAGGTCGTGGAAAAGAATCTTGATCATTTCTCTGGTCATTTTGGATCGGTCTTTGAAAATAAACAGAATGTCCGTGTGAGGATCTGGGGGCACTATAAGTATCAACCTGAGGTTGTACAAAGAAAGATATTATATTTGTGACGGCTACCGTTTAACATACCTCAGAGTAAACCTCACCGAAGCCAGAGAATTAATATATATTTTTAATTTCTTCTAGGAAATACAACTCTTTCTTTATTAAGATCTTATCCCTAATTCTAATTGGTGTATGGGGCATTGATGCATTCATAGCTTTGAGTTTAAATTAATGATGAATTCGTCCCCCGTTTCCCTCCCGTCCCCCCCGGAAGCTGAAGCCCATATCCATCTGTGCCATCCAATCATGTCATCTTAAGTGGTTTGTCACAGCGTGTGCCTGGTGTGTTAGCAGGTATACATATGGTGGACCCCTATACCTCATATCAATAATTCACATGCTCCTCTGCAGGGAGGGTGACTAAAGGTGAAGTAGCTGCAGAGGGGCATCTAACATTAGACTTTAGGATCCACAGAAATGAATCCGCAGAATGCATTACTGAGTTAAAAACCCACAATGACTTCTTTCCCATAGTAATCTGCATTGAAAAAAGAAACCCATCCGATTGTCCTGCTACACGGTAACTAGCACAGTTTAGTGGAGTAGCAGCAACTCTGGAATTCACACGTTGTAAAGCGACCTCTCGATTCCATTCACATGCAAAACAAATCATACGTAAATGTATTGAACTAGTTTATGGATTTAGTTACTTTGATTCCACCATAACATGAGACACATTCTGATATTTCTAGGACGTTGTTTAACGAGGTGTATTAGTCCTAATTGGCCTTTACATTAGCGCACTGACCCCGCGTGACCCCCCCACCGTTTACCTTTCTCGGTGTTCAGCTGATGCTCCTCTCTGCTGTGCGCTCTCTAACCCCGCCCCCTCGGAGCGCACAGGGACGGTAAACCAAACAGACGGGGAGAGCGAAAGCGACACAGAGGGAGAGAGAGCGAGCAGGAGAAGAAGAAGAAGAAGAAGAAGGAGGAGGAGACCAACAACTTGGTACTCAGGAGCCGGGAGTCCTCCTCCTGGCGCGGTGCAGTCGTCGCACTTCAGCACCGGACCGGCGTGAACTGTCTGCGGTGGAAGTGAGCCGCACGCACCGAGAGAAAGATGCAGGCTGAGGACATGGAGGTACCTACCGTTCATAACCTTACCCGTGTGTGTGTGTGTGTGTGTGTGTGTGTGTGTGTGTGTGTGTGTGTGTGTGTGTGTGTGTGAGAGAGACAGAGAGTGTGTGTTGTTGCTGGGTAGCTTTCCGTCCAGCTGGATGTCCTTTCCGCGCAATGAGTCGTCGTCTCGGCTGGAGAGCAGCATGCACACATGCACACACATGCACACACATGCAGGCAGAAAGACACCGAGGGGTTATTTCGGTTACCGGCTCCTATAAATACCCCAACGCCCCCCCGCAGTAATCTCCCACAGCGGTGCTCCTCAACATTTCACCCCCCGCATTCTCGGGAGGTGAAATGTGAAGCCGGAGTAACGTCACCTCCACTACGACGCGTGTGTATCTCTGAATTAGTCCTCAGATGTTTGTGTGTTTGTGTTCCCTCGCGGTGAAATGCTCTTATTGATTATGATCCATCCATCGCTGTCAGCTCATTGATTCTTTGGCTCAAATGAAATACACGTTGATGGTCTGCGATACAGTGATTAATCAAGTCGCCCACCAATGGGGGGCATGTGCGGTTTAAAGCGTCACAAAGGCAAAATTGTATCATTTGCTGTCATGCTGGTTAAATTAAGAGACCAATTTAACACTTGACTTTGGTCAATCTCCAATGATATTATTTATGGCGTTATTTGTTTCTTTAAAAGATAAAGACTGGAATTTAAACAACCTAACCGTTATTGTCAAATATGTCATCAACTAATAATTTGGTTCTTTAGCGTGATGGATGGTGAACAATGCCCATCATATATTCAAATGCTTCTTTCCCAACCTGAATCAATCCAAACTGCTTGTTTTACTGATCAATAATGCAAATTCTCCTGTGCTGCCACCTCTCAATATTTCCCATTAGCCAATGACAGAGACTCAGACGCACCAGTTGACGGTACGTTGTGATTTTCAGACTGTTTGGAGCCACGTTCTGAAACATGGACCGAGAGGTCCGCTCTGCTCCCCTGAACATCACAGCAGCATCGTTCAGCCTGATGCCTCTTCCCTGTGCAGATATAATTCATTCCCTCATTAAACCCATCCTCTTCATAATTCTTTATTTCATTTTTTTTGTTTGCTCAGTCCAGATTCAGACATAAACCGTTAAAGAAAAACCCAGTCGGCCTTGTTGTCTCTGTTATTGTTTGTGTGCAGTGAATGGTTTAAAGAGAATTGGAGCATATTCAACGCACAAATTTGGGGTGAGTGGTTGGCAATGGTGTGTGTGTGTGTGTGTGTGTGTGTGTGTGTGTGTGTGTGTGTGTGTGTGTGTGTGTGTGTCTGAGAGGGATGGGAGAGGGACCAGGATGAATGACGTGGATGTTGAAAGCGTTAAACGTCAAACCGTTATTATGTCATGCTGATGATTTCACCATTGTTGCTTCATTTGTTTCGGTAAAAATCACTAGTCAGACAGAAGCAGCCGACGAGATGAGAAATGAATTATATCACACAACAAAGTCTGGACTAGCTTTTGTATATCTGAGGTTGTTGCTCATACGAGGCCCCTGTGTCAGTAGATAAAATGGGGCATTTTTTTATTTTACAGTGAGTAACACTATTAATCCCCGCTATGTTATGTACGGCCGGTGTTTGCAATCGACCTCTTGCAGCTGGATCAATATTAAGCAGACGTACAGACACCATAAACAACGTGCCGTTATGTGTAGCATGTAGGAACCTGAAGGGACCGAAGAGGAGACTCATTTCACAAGCAACATTACGTGTAAATTGGATGCCTCCAAAAAATAACAATGCCAAAGTGCTGCAGATACTGACTTGGTTGCAGCCGGTATTTATAGGAGACGCTTCCGTGACACCACTGGCGCTTGTTTAAGCGGGATAGCTGACTCAGATCCTTATTTACAGTCCTGGCCCTGGGCCCATTCTCACAGGGTTAAACACACTCGTAGCTTGTCGCCTCCCAGTGCTGCCAAGAGGGAATTATATCTTTTATATTAATTCGCATTAACATTAAATTAATCTTCACTGCACCCTTTAGGGAAATTTCATCAGTTAACATCATCTACTGAGGAAATAGAGCTAAAGAACCGAGAATGTTTCCCGGCCCTGAACCTATTTTCTTCCTACTACTAATTTGCCCCCGGCGTTCATCGTAACCCAAGTTACAATCTCAGGGTTATTTAAATCATTAAATGCTCTTCTAATTTGGAGAAAGGTCCTTTTCACAATGTTGAATCATTTGGGCTTCTGAGGTCCCTCGTGGATCTCATCCTATAAGTTAATATTTTGTGCAATGACTTGGAGCCAGTGAGCTTTTTTTTTTTTTTTTTTTTTTTTTTTTTTTCCAAAGCAACACAACGTACGCCGTCCGTCTCGTGGCTGATCACAGGGGGGGGGCTAAAGTCAGAGCCAGCAGGGACCCTCGACTGCATTCACAAGCTAATCCGCTCTCAAACCCGGGCCTGTCCACTGAAAGATCGGCGTCATCGTTGGGGAGAGCGTCTCTCCTCCGTTCAATCCATCTGATGGAAGCTGTAGCTGCTTGTGCAGAGGATCATTCATTGAGAGTGAGAGGAGAAAAATAAATGTAAATGACTAATCAACAACGCCTGGATGTTTGGCAGCCAATCAAACCTCCACACGAGAAAGTGAAACTGTGAACGAGCCTGGTGTGCGTTTGTGTGGGTGGCGTGTGAAGTGTGTGGCTGTAAGTGGAGTACAGACTAGTGGTTCAATAGGCGCTGGAAAAAAAAGTAAATAACCTGCAGGATGTTTATGCATGTGGGTGTCAGGGCATCGGTGATTTAGCTGAGATCAGTGCCGTACTATGATGTGTAAATGCAAATATGTGTGTTTTTGCTCTTCGCAGAGCTCCATGGAGTCTCCAAACCTGGAGTTTGAGTACGGAGACACAGACTCTCTGGCTGCTGAGCTCTCAGGTGAGACTGTAGCAGGTCAGGATGCTAACGTTACAGCGCAGCTCAAAGCCGTGCTCCGGTACAGTCACACAGTCTTTTGTATATCCAGACTGCCAGACACCTTCGGTCCCCCGTCTGGCCGTGTTACGTCCTTGAATCCGTCCTTTCCTAAAACTATGAATGGTTGACATACATGCGGACATATTTTCTAAATCAAATGAGATGTTGAAACCTTTGGCTGGTACTGTTGTATGTTCCTCCTGTTATTTATTAAAACAAGGCTGTAAGCTGACACACTGCACACAACTAATCTTCCGCATAATCACAAGAGCTGTGATCATACATCACACATCCGTATATCTGGTAACATCATCATCATGCACGACTTGGATCTTCAATTATAAATACTCAAAGATGCATATGAGAGGAATAGAATTCAACGATGCCGACGGGTGTTTTTCATTGTACTTCATAGTTTATTTCCAGTGCGTGATAATGACCGTCCTCCTGGTGGATGGCGTGTGGCAGCTGACGGTTAGTCAGATTGGCAAACGCACACAGACAGACAGTCTGCGAATGGGAGGCAAAGCATGGCAACGTGATGAATCATTCGACTGTGCTTGAGACCGATAAGATCACCAATGAGTAGACGGGAACTTGTTTTTGTAGGATGGGAACAGGTTACCTGCAGGAGTGCTATGCTCTCCTATTTCTATCACATACTACTTTATTCTATTCAGGGCTGTAACTTCCCCATTGATTAATCTATTTGTTATTTTTGATGAAATTAATAATTAAGACATTTTTAAAATAGAGAGAAAAGCAGTCGAGAGGCTGCGAGCAGCTCTTTTGCTTAAATAAATAAATTCATACATCAGTGTTTCAGCTCTTAATTCTGTTGTATTGTTATCTGTCCACAGAGCTCTACAGTTACACGGAGGAGCCAGAGTTTGCACTGAACAGAGACTACTTTGAGGAGGACTTCAGGAGCCATGGTATGTGTACGTGTTTGGGTGTGTGTGTGTGTGTGTGTGAGCGGCAGATTATAAAACCTATTAAATAGCTGTGGATTCGCTGTCTGCACATCCCGTAATGTGTCGAGATCACTCGTAGGGTAGCAGGTGTGTCATTCCCGTCATTGTCAAATTAGGATAAACTCCATTCCAAATGTGCTTGCGACCCCCAACTTGTGTCACCAATGTTCGCACTGCACTGCAGAGTGGCATTATGACAAACGCCTACAAGTCTAAAGCCGGAAACGTTGTCCATCCTGAGACCCCGAAGCTCCTGCAACGCGGCGACTGCTGTGTCCTCCGTGTGGCCCTGAAAGGACCCGTGGGCCCCTGTTCAGTGCAGTGATAAAAAGTGACCGTGAGTTAGATGATAATAATAATATTAATACATTTAATTTGTAATGCACTTTATATTTAAGAAAATCCCAAAGTGCTACATGATAAAACAGGTAAGTGCTAACAATAAAAACACACAGAGAGTTTGAAAAAAAAAAAAGAAAGGGCACGAGTTCACTCAAAAGCTCTCCTAAAAAGGTGGGTTTTTAGGCCACGTTTAAAAGCATCCACAGTCTGTGGTGTCCTCAGGTGATCAGGGAGAGCATTCCACAGACTGGGAGCAGCTGAGCAGAAAGCCCGATCTCCCATTGTACAGAGATGATGGAGGTTGACTAAAAAAAAGTTCAACACGAATCAAACTATGTTAATAATTAATGATTGGATAAATTAGAGGAGGAATGGCATTGCAGCATTTAGCCCTCTTTTTCATTGAAAAATCCCCCATGAGTTCAGACTTTACAGATTTGACAAGGCAACTGGGACGGTAAACACATTTCACTGCCGTTTCCCAGCTTCACACTAAAAGCAGTAAATGAGATGTGACAAGCTCTCTTCGGCTCAGTTTTCTCACCTCTGAAGTGCAGCACAAGCCAGCGTTGTGAGGCGGGTGACCAGGCAAATCAAAGAAAGAATATCCCCACAGATTGACATTAATCATGTGGGTCATATGTGGTTACCAAGCAAAAGGCAGCTTTTAAAACACAAGTTAGTCTCACATATGATTATGCTTTAATACAATGTCTATTCATTTTTTTATCATACGGTCTTGTCTTGTGTAGTAATCATCAAGTTTGATTCTTAGAAACATATTCCTTAAAAAGAGACAATAAAGTACCTTGATTTGTTGTAATTGTTCACTATATGTTGCATTCGGTTGCAATGGAAGACATTTTTTCATTTTATTATCAAATACCACAGATACCCCTCTGGAGAAAAATAGACCTAAGAAGCCACTCGCAGCTCTAGTTACTGTGGCATCTTTCCATGCGTTTTTTGAAAAGGAGCGAGACGAGCGTCATCCTCTTCATCCGTCACCTCCTCTCCTGTCTGAGCGGTGTTGAATAGCAGGATTAGACGAGCGTGTCTCCGACGGCTGCTCTACAGAGATAAAGCACAGAGCTGCCTCTTTGCATTAAGGTCTTTTTATTAGCTTGTGTGTATGTGTGCTTTCAGTCGGCAATGTATATTAGTTGTCAGACGGTGGTTCTCCTCATTGATTTGTGTGTTTGTGTGTGTGTGTTTATTACAGGGCCTGTGCTTATCAATGATTTATTTCCCGCTGCTAACTATAGCTTCTCAATCATCTGAATTATTGGGATTATCACAGTGTGTCTGATTTTTAACTCTTTACTAAAGTAAAGTCTCCTTTGAGTAGATTTTCCTCATAATGAAATAAAGCCTCTAGGAATAGACTTAGAGGCCAGAAAAAGGCTTCCAGACAAGGCGTGCATTTTTTAATAAGCTGTAATTATTGTAGTCGTCCTGGTCTCAGGACTATTTGTGCGTACTGGTCTCTGCTAATGACACCACTGACTCTGTTAATTGCAGCTCTGTATTATTCAACGCCCACAAGCTTTCAGCTATTTCCAGAGCTCATGCAGTGGGCCTGGACATAATGCCAACGTCAAAAACTAATGACAGAGTCATCAAAGCAGTGGCATGCCGTCCATAGAATTCCACACACAGTTAATCAACCTGAGCACTGTGAAAATTGAGATCACGGCGATCACAGTTATTTACAGCCACCCGATTTCCTGAAAAATCGGGTGGCTGAGTCGGATTAATATATAGAGATGAGCGATGCGACATGTCGTGGAACTCTAAACTGGGAGAAACTGCAGCATAAAGCCTAGCGTTGTCTCACAATGACCGTAAATGACACACCGTGACTCACATGATGTGTTAAAACCAGTTGATAACGAGTACAGACAGAGAAACGATAATGAGTATGATCATTACAATAACCACGATAATACAGTAACCTAATTTTTGGGGATTCAAACCACACAGTTATAGCTAACCCTTGTGAGTTAGGATTGGACTTTTCTGTCTTTGTGTGTTTCCTGTACGTCTGGGCACATACTACAGGAGCCAACAATGTGTCCTCTGCTCTGTCCTTCCTGCAGCTCGAGGCAGGAGGTGGACTGAGCTGACGCTGGAGGAGCAGCGGTCCTACGTGATGAGGCTCCTGGACGCGCTGGAGGTGACGGACAGGGACAAGAGGCTGAAGGTGGCCAGGGCCATCCTCTACTTGGCTCAGGGTGCGTGGGCCCAATACACAACAACCGGCGTCGGGCCTTTTCAGCGACAGCAGGAAAAGCGGCGGTGTTCGTAGTTACCTGTGATCGGTCAAAATGTCCTTCTACGCCGCACACTGTAGCATCTATGGCTGTAAATGGCTACTCTCTCTCTGCCGTTAACTTCTTCCACTTAAGCAGAAATTCTCTTCTTAAAGTTCTTTGCACATTTGCCCCCTACCCCACCAGGAGTGTTTGATGAGTGTGACACGGAGGTGGACGTGCTCCACTGGTCCAGACACAATGTCTTTCTGCTCTATGACATGGGCATCTTCACGGCGCTGCTGGAGCTGCTCAGCATGGAGATAGAGTGAGTAAGATGCGCTGAATATGCTGGCGACGTGTGAGTCACTTCCAAATGGAAAAGATTCCATCAAAACACACCAGCTACAAAGTCCCCGTTTACCCTGGATTTGTCTGATAAATAAGACTGCACACTTGCTGCTGCTCATGTATTTACAATACACAAGCGTAGACGGGAATTAAAGATCAAGTAAGCAATCGAAAGCGCAGACCTATGGGTGACCCCCCTGGGTGAAGGTCTGCAGGCGGAAAGGAACTCTAATACGAGCACAACATGTTCCTCGGATGAAGGGAATTATTCTCCTGAAATCTAGACCTCATTCAAACGGGGACATGGTGAACACAGCGCCTGTGATCCTCCAATTCAAACTTCGAGTCGCCTTTGACGCCGCCGGTGCTTCATTTGTTTGTTACGTAAGCTGCTCAGAGGCGTCACGGGTCTGGCCCATCGACGCGCTGCACAGCAAAGCAAACTAATCAGTTGCAGCTCATTGAAAAAGATTAGAGTCTGGTTGTGTGATGCATGATGATGAGGTTATAATAATCCGGAGTGGCTCTTCTTTTTTCCCAATAAACTACTAAAATGATGCAAATACTTGGCTGTGTCTGCAGTAACAACCAGGCATGCAGCAGTGCAGTGAGGAAGCCTGCCATCTCTCTTGCTGACAGCACGGAGCTCAGGTAAGTAATCCGCTGACGTCCTCATTCCTCGCGCCTACCCGTCATGCAGCGCACAGATGCACACACTTGATCTGCAACATGCAATTATGGTCTATGTCCTTTTACCTCAGATTCATTTTGTTTCCACATACACACACTCCTGTGTTCCCACATGGGCAGAGATCCATCAGTGCATTTCCCAGTTGAACACATTGAAGTGACAGCTGGCTTGATCGGCTCCTAAAAACGATCGGAAAACCTGTGTAGTCATTCTGAACTCTGAGGCTTTGTTTAGGGAACAAAGCGTTTAATGGATCAAGCTATGCCTGATTCACATCGTGAATGGATTGTGATAATTGTGAATGGAAGGTGCATTATTTTGGCAGTGAATACAAATGATTTTCACCCACCTTTATGTACAAGCTTACTGCAATACAATCTCTGCTTCTTGCACTTCCCCTTTCATCGCTACTAACCATTTACTTCCGTTATAGTGTTATCTTTTGACCTTGCAAGTCCATTAGTTTTTTTCCAGGCACTAGTTAAATTACCACTGACACACACACACACAAGGTCTAGTTGTGTCCTTCTTTTCTTTACAGAGTCCTACTAAGCATCATGTACTTGATGGTGGAGACTATTAGAGGTCAAACGGAGGATGACAGACCTGAGTGGAGAACGGCGAGAGAAGCCTTCAAGAATGAGCTAGGTGTGTGCGTGTGTGTGTGTGTGTGTGTGTGTGTGTGTGAGAGTGAAAAAGATATGTAACGGTGGCTGGGGTGGTAGATTTTTATAAATATTTTTCCTTTTGAATTAAAAGATCCCTGCTTCACACCCTTTGTGTTTTTTAATGTTCAGCAGGTTTTGCCTTTAGGAAATGTTTTCTTTTTTCCGATCCAAAAGGGCAGATTTTGCCTTTTTGATCCCCCCTCCCCCCCCCCCCCCAGGTTCACCGCTGTACAACGGAGAGCCCTTTGCCCTGCTCCTCTTCACCATGGTGACCAAGTTCTGCAGCATGAATGCCCCGCATTTCCCCATGAAGAAAGTCCTACTGCTGCTCTGGAAGACGATACTGGTTAGTACATTATGACCCAATGACACATATTGCACGGTCTCATTATCCTCATTTAGCGTTTGTTTTTTGCGGGATGAGCGGTGTTCTTGTGGAGGATCAATTCCGTTCCTCCTGACTCGCTGCACATAAGCCCGTGTTTCCGCTCTGCATCCCTCTCCTCCAGTTCACCTTGGGGGGTTTCGAGGAGCTCCAGGAGATGAAGGTGCGGGGCCGCGAGGGTCTGAGGCTGCCCCCGCTGACGGAGGACAGCATCAAGGTGGTCAGGGCCATGAGAGCGGCCTCGCCCCCGGCCTCCGCCATGGAGCTTATTGAACAGCAGCAGCAACAGAAGAGAGGCCGCCGCAGCCGCAGGGTACAGACTCCCCCCCCCTATTTTTTCTATTACTTGCCTTTTTACTGTCTGAGCGGCTTCATGTGTAAAGTGATCCAATAGAATTCAGTCTTTAACTCGTCTTCTAACTATCCGGGTCCAGCTGTTCAAAGGTTCCCTTGGTGACAACATCCCTGGTTCTCTGCTGTGAGTCAGCGATGCCAGAGATGATGTTAATGGTGCTGGAGCAGCTCTGTTTTCGGTAGAGCTTTGACCGGACGAGCTAATTAATTGCCCTCTGGTCTCTCATTGCCCCTCTTCCTTGTGTTCCCACAGAGTGCCTTTGTTGATAGCTTGGAAGGAGACAGTCCCTTTACCAAGAAGCAGGTCTTTACCCACAAATTCCCTCTTTTCCTTCTGCATCTCCTCCCTGCCTTGAGCTGGACTTTCTGCACTCATCTCCCTCGTCGCCGCCACCCACTTGTCTCCATCTTCTTCCTGCACTCCCTTCTCTTTCTTTGTCTTTTGCTATTCTCCTCACCCGGCTGTCCTTTTAACCTCATTCTATCATATATTACAGAATGCTTTCTTTTTTGGGTAAGGAAGTTGATATAAAGCATATTGTCTGGACACCATAAACTACTGGATAACATTTATAGTCTATTATAAAAGAAAATAATCAGGAACCAGAAGTTAAATGCTGCAAGTGGTTTCAGTTTAATCGCAGTTGCTTCCTCGTTCCAAAACGTACAAGGAGGAGTTTGACGTTTAGGAAATCTCAAACATTTCTCGGCTTTCGTGTCTGAATGCTAGATATGATCTAGAAATGAAGCTACATCACGCAAGACTGAATACCAAAACTCACTTATTAACAGTTTTATGGCAACAGATTTGAAATGAATATCAGTCTTCTCATCAAACATTAAAGAAATTCTAAAATCCAGTCATCATCAATCGCTTATTTAAATTATTTTGTTCCCTTTACTTGTTTATACTAATTACTTTTACCCCGTTCTTTCTTCTTCCATCATCCTTTAATTTCCAACTCACACCTGCTTGTATCCTCATTTCTCTTTTACTCTTGAAGACAAGTGTCCCTTTTACACTTTTCTTCCCTTTCCTTTCTCCTTGCCTCTATCTGCTCCTCGTCTTCCTCTCTGTCCTCCTGCTCTCCTTTTTCATCTCCTCCCATGCTTATTCTATCATTTCCCACTCCTTCCACACCATCCATTAACACCTCATACTGTCCCTCCCTCCTCCTCCACTGTGGCCGGCTCAGTCTGGGGGGGGGTGTTGGGAAACAGGGCTGACTTGCTGGCTGTTGTCATTGGCGCTGGAGGGGTAACTATCCACTGTGCCGTAAAGTCACTTCTAAGACGTCTACTGTAGTAGCATTTCCCTTGTAGTTTTCAGCACATCACTACCAGGTCTGTCGGCACAAATTCACCTCCGCATTGTAGGCTCTGGACTAGGGGTCAATGTTCTTGAAATGCATTCATTGAGGAGGTGAATTGAGATTTTACCGACCGTACTTTTCTCTTGTCCTCGGTGTGGTATTCGGCTCTCGGTTGACCTCTCTCTCTCTCTCTCGCTCACATGGATGTCATTGAAAGCGGTTGTCCCCTAACCCTGATGGAGCACCAACACCACAGTAGCTTTAACCCGCCACACAGCAGAGAATGGCTGACAACACAGCCTCACCTCCCCCCGACCATACACTCACTATACCCCTCACTTAGTCCGGCATCGCCACTGCCACTGGTGCACCATCGGCTGCACTGTTAATGTCCAGAACGCTGACTCATGCCTGATGCTTGCCCTATCGCCACAGTCATTCATCAGAGAAATAGTTGACACTTGTGTGTGAATGTTTGTTTCGCACTTGGGTTTGTTTTTGTAGATAGGATCTCAATATGTTTTAGTCTTTTGCTTGCATTTTTTGTTTTGAGGTGCAGATGCGTGGTAAGTTCAGTCTGAAATGTTGCTTGCCGTTTTTTTATGGTTGCCTTTGGACAGAGCGAGGCTAGCGGTTTATGCTAAGCCAAGTTAACCGTAACCTGCTGTAGCTTCATGTATAATGGTCAAATATGCAACTGGTATCTGTTTTCTCTTTCACTCTCACTAAGAAAAAGAATAAGAACAATAAAAAAGGGTAATTCAGTTTTCCTTTTAAAGCGTGGAGCAGTCCTTTGGGATACATAAGGCTAAGGCCTTAAGGCAAAATTTGGATCTATTCCATAATTGGGGATTAAGTGGTATTATTTATTAGGCTGCTCTCGTTCGACATATTAGAAACACAGTCATTGAGACTCATCGAGATGTGTTTCCTGCCTGAGGCAGTAAAAAAAAACGTGTCAATTTGAAAAGCTTCCGTCTTTTCTTTCTCTCTCTCTCTCAGCCTCTGGTCAAGCAGGACAGTCTGGACACGTACAACGAGCGCGACCCTTTCAAGAATGACGAGGAGGAGGACCCAGAGGACGCGGACAGCGGCATCGAGGGCGAGGTGGACCCCTTGGATCGCGATGTCATTATCCAGCCCCCACCCCCGCCGCCTCCCCTCAGACCTCCCACAGAGAGAGTCAACTTTCCCAAAGGCCTTCCCTGGGCCCCTAAAGTCAGGTTAATGAACAGTTTTATTTCTGCACTTTGGCGTCCGCAACAAACCCCCATTAACGGTAAAATTATGGTGAAAAAGTATTTGGACTGGAAACTGGCAAAATAACAAAAGCTGCTGTTGCATGTGTCTTCAGTTTTTAAAACGGATATTTAAAGTGCCCTCTTAAAGGCTTTTTTATGGGTTTTATGGGTACATTACTCTGGTTGTATACAGTCAAAATACTCCAAGCCAGAACAGATGCTGCACACATTAAAAAACAGCTTAAGTAAAACATTTCAATGATATTGATGCTCATTAATATAGCTGCTAAAGACGATCCCAGGCATATTTCCATGTTAGTTTAAAATCACTTTACTCCATTGCGCTGAATAAAACATCTTCATTTTGACCACTATAGAGTAGAGAAAACCTCCCACCCACAGCCACGACTTTACACCATTTGGTTGGCAGATGGTCTCAGTTTCCCACCCTAATTCTGTGCCACCATTCGAGTTGGGTTAAAAGCGAATCATAAAAAAAATCCTCACTGTTTTTTCTCCAGCAATATGCTTTCCATCTGTGTATTCCTGAGAGTAGCGTGTGGTAGCCTCCCGGCGTGCACACGTGAATACACGCTCCTTTCATAGCAGTATATTTAGTACGCATTCATTATCACACGACTCGGATTATGTTAGTGAACCGTATCATTAATTGTGTGTATTTAGATCTGTCTTTGGATCAAGAGTGCCGCGACATACAGGGCTGATTTAGCAGGCTCACAGGAGCAGCAGCAGCACACAGTGTGACTGATGAGATTTTAGGGAGCCAATGCCTGCTGTTGCCCGTCTACGTGTTGGTGTGCTCCCACATGTGTGTGTGCTCCCATGAAAATGATCTGTGTGTGTGTGTGTGTGTGGCGGCATGTGTAGAAATGAATCCAAAATCTGACTGCGGCGTGTCTTTGTGTGTGCAGGGAGAAAGACATTGAGCACTTCCTGGAGACCAGCAGAAACAAGTTCATTGGGTTCACACTGGGAAAGTAGGTATTTCATTTGAGACAAATTAAGATCTCCTTTTTAAACCGAGTCTTCTTCCAGTCTGGTGTAACTGTGTGTGGTTTTGCAGTGACACAGATACCCTGGTGGGCTTACCCAGACCCATCCACGAGAGTGTCAAGACTCTTAAACAGGTGAACAGGGACATCCCTGCCTCATTAAGCATCTCACTCATTTACTCACTCACTCACTCACTCCATATCTCACCATTTAGTCACTAATTCCTTTTTCTTCTTGGCCTTGGCTTGATATAGTCAGGGTTCCTCAATTAATACTCTGTCTTTTGGCTGAATCCCCCATTAAAATATATACCCTGTGGGTGTCACTTCCTCAAACCCCTTTTTGTTATTGTTTGGTTATAGATATAAATGCTGTTTAAATACAAATGATTTGTATGTTAGGCGTTAAAAGAAATGTCAATTCTCTATATATAACTTTTGTTGTTTGTTTGTACTGTGATTTGCTTTTTTTCCCAGCACAAATATGTGTCAATTGCTGAAGTCCAGATCAAAAAAGAGGACGAGCTGCAACAGTGTCCAATGAGTCTGGTCAGTAATGTCCCCGTCGGATTTTTTTTAACAATCACGACCGTGACTGTAAATCTATTTTTAATGTATTAGAGCAACCATTGGGTGTGCGTAGGAGAGGTCCAGACGGTCTTTCCTTCTTGTTACTACACAACAGCTCTGTTCCAAGACCAAAGAATCTGTGGAATACTGTGCATAGCTCTGGCTGTACTATTTATTTTTCTGTCTGTAATATTAATTTAATTTACTGTTTTAAAACAAAAAAGTATTTTCTTACTGAAATAAGAAATTTGATATCCGTCTCTGTGTGCCCCTGCTGTTCTAAATGTAAGTATTTTGTGGATGTGAAATAGATTTTTGTATATTGCTCAGGGCGAGGAAGAGGTGGCGGAGACGCCAACGGAGATGCTTTACCTGGGAATGCTTCCTAACCTGTCCCAGTACGTGGTGAGTGGCTCATGATGGACAATCCCTCCTCTCATGTTCTGCCTGCATTAGCACCATCTTGCTAACCAATGTATGTCCCATTGGCTGACCCTCACACTGGGTTGCAGTTTCTCCCAAAAAAGGAAAAAGATAAATTGATTTGCTAAGTATTTGAACTGTCCCTTACCATCGGGCATTCTTGGCAGCAATGTGAGCTCATACATATTTGCTTTTACACAACAAAATCTAGATCTCTGCATTGTCACTTGTTTCAGATTGCCCTCCTGAAGCTGCTGCTGGCTGCAGCTCCAACATCCAAAGCCAAAACCGACTCCATTAATATCTTGGCTGATGTGCTGCCTGAGGAGATGCCGTAAGTACTGTAGATAGAGACTGCTGCAGTTTGACTGTTTTTCAATTTTGGCAGTTTTTTGGCATCCAGAAACTTGGGCGACAATAAAATATGCACATGTGTTTTTCAAATTTCACTACCATTTACAGCTGCACATAAACAATTGGAGACCTGAAAGCCTGTGTATGTGTGTGTCCTCCAGTATCACAGTCCTTCAGAGCATGAAGCTGGGAATTGATGTGAACCGTCACAAAGAAATCCTCGTCAAGGCCATCTCTGCTCTGCTGCTGCTGCTCCTCAAACACTTCAAACTCAATCATATTTATCAGGTAACAAACCAGTCCTCCCCTCTGTAGGCTCCTCACATTATCATTCTTTCCTTTTACATTATCCTTCTCCTCCGTCTTGCCTACCCGAGCACAAACGTACACAACAATCGATGCACCACCCCCTCATGCTTCCACAATACCCTCCACCTGATTATTCGGTCAACCGTTCTTTCCTCCTTTCATCCTCCTCACCACCGTCTTACCTTTTGGACCTTCATTCCCTCCTGACATCTCGGGGACGTCCTGCCTCAGCTTGATAGACTCACTGTTTACACGTTCCGGAAAACGGATTGAAAGAGAGCATCTGGTCTGAAAACTGCTCTTTTAAAAAAAAAGAGGATTTGGCCCCATTTCAAGCAATGATATCTTGTTTTTCTGTGGTTCAAATGGATGGGGACGGGATTCCTTTACACTTTTTAAATGGTTGCTGTGCAGAGTTGTAGTGGTAGCGCCCCTTGCTGCCACAAAATGATATTACATCATCAGGATGCCGCTACAGTGGGATGTCAAATCAATTATTCTTACTTACACTAAGACAATAACTATTATTTGAGGATACATTAATTAGCATAACATGCAGAAATCATGGCGAAACAAAGCACAAACCAAACAGTCAATGAAACTGTAGAATATGATTCATCCGCAGACTGTATGACTATAAAGATCCTGGTTTTTGACCTTCTCTCCACACAGAAAATGAAATGATTCCACCTCTTCTTTCCCTACAGTTTGAGATTGTCTCCCAGCACCTGGTGTTTGCCAACTGTATCCCACTCATCCTCAAGTTCTTCAATCAGAACATCATGTCCTATATCAGTGCCAAGAACAGGTAGGATCCCTGTCTCCTCCTCAGTACCCTCCCAGAAAGCACTGCACGTCTTGTTTTGCTGACAAAACACAGGCTTGGTTAAGATGCGGATGCATTGCACTGTATCATTATGGCTCCATTTCCTGTCACTCATGCTGCAAATGGCTCACACCTTGTTGTGGTTGAGGACATGCTGTTAAGACGGCCAACCAAATATCACAGATATGACGTTGACTTGCATCAATCAGCAGGCGTCCTGGAAGTGGAACAGATTGCATCCCGGCAGCCATGCAATGGCAGGAGATGAAGGTGTGGGAGAAGATACATAAACATTAAGCCACATATTAGGTGACAGGACTCTTAGGCAGCAGGTAAAAATACCAGGTCTGTCCATTTTAGCTCCGGTGCAATACCATAGAAAAGTACCATATAACCTTTAGTAGTACACATACTTTGATGTAGTTCTTCAACCCTATCGGAGCGTTTGCAGGGTTTCGGGTGGAGTCGTAGTATGTAATGTGACGGGACGTCATCAGTGTGTTTGTCTGTGTTTTCGTTGCAGCATATGTGTGCTGGACTTTGCTCACTGTGTGGTCCATGAGATGCCTGAGCTCACAGCTGAGAGCCTGGTAGGTCGAAACGCAGTCACCGTGACACTTGATTGACTTACTGGATGAAGGTTAAGCCTTTTCTAAGTGTCGCCATGACATGAATGTTATGTGTGTGTGTCTATCAGGAGGCAGGAGACAGCAACCAGTTCTGTTGGAGAAACTTGTTTTCTTGTATAAATCTGCTGAGAATATTGAACAAGCTGACCAAGTGGAAACACTCCAGGACAATGGTGAGCTATTCTGCACCTCTGCAGAGCCTCATGCTGTAGCCAAAAGGTGGGGCAAAAAAGTTGACACTTCTAATACCAGACTGAATGTTTTGGTACTCTAGGCACATGACCAGATCTACTCATGCGGTATCCCAATCAGTGCAAAGAGAAACTAAAAACCAGCTGTCATGCTGAGCATGCACAAATCCATCAGCACTTAGAAGCCGGTTCATTTACATTTTCATTGGCATGTTCCACAATGAAGTGTTTGTGGGCCTCTGGTACACGACAACCTGCTCAAAAATGCTCCTGTGCTAAATTTCCGTCCCTTTTTCAGATGTTGGTGGTGTTCAAGTCCGCCCCCATTCTGAAGAGAGCTCTGAAGGTGAAGCAGGCCATGATGCAGCTCTACGTCCTCAAGCTGCTCAAGATTCAGACCAAGTACCTGGGCCGCCAGTGGAGGAAGAGCAACATGAAGACCATGTCGGCCATCTACCAGAAGGTCCGCCACAGGCTCAATGACGACTGGGCCTATGGAAATGGTAACCAGCAGTCTGCGGAGCCACATTTGTGAACTGTTCAAACTATTCACTTTGCGTTTAGCTGAGCTACAATTTGTTACCAATTTTATTTAGGATTTAACTGATTTATATATATTTTTTTATGTTTCATTTTATGAATCCATTTTTTCTTTCATTCTACAGAGTATTGGAATGCTTAAAGCCAAGTACTCATAATACAAAACAATCACAATCTAAAAGAGGACTAAGTAACCAAGAAAGGAACATAATTAAATTAGTGAAATTGTGTTTTCTGGGTCAAGTTTATAAAGAACCAAAGAGTCCACACCCTCTCGGATCTCCATGAAAGAAATTGTCATGGAAAAAATTAGTCCCACCAGTCCTCTGTCTTTGCAGATTAAAAGAATAAAAACTGCAGTGTGTGGAATACGTTTGCAGTAACCTTTGTAAACTTGACTGTAAACATCAATTTAATATAGGTTAATACATTTGAATTGTTAGTTAAATGGTAGATGCATACTGTGTATATGTACCCGTCTGTACGTAATGTACTGTGCGTGTGTGAAGTACAATGCTTCACCAGCCATTGGTGAACAGCCTGGATTGTGTTGCCACGGTAACAGACAAAAAGGGGGATATTTTTAAGGGTCACTGTCCTCATGGGAGTGCATGTGATCTGTCAAAATAAGCGTTAAATGGATAGAAAATAAGACTGGGAGAGAATAAGGTAGGAAATGGAAGAAAATAAAGAGGGGGGATCAATAAAGGCAGAGTTGTTGTCTCCCCAGTAAGACGAAGGATAATGGAAGATTTAAGGGGGAACATTCTCGCGCACATTAAAGGAAAGGTCCTAGATACTGATGACGTATCCCTTCCCCCAGATATCGACGCACGGCCCTGGGACTTCCAGGCGGAGGAGTGCGCCCTGCGGGAGAGCATCGAGAAGTTCAACAGCCGCCGCTACGACAAGAACAGGAACGGAGACTTTGCGCCCGTGGACAACTGCCTGCAGAGCGTGCTGGGCCAGCGCGTGGAGCTGCCCGAGGACTTCCACTACAGCTACGAGATGTGGCTGGAAAGAGAGGTCTTCTCCCAGCCCATCCAGTGGGAGGGGCTGCTGCAGCAGCCGTGATGGAGGTGACACGCGGGGGGGTGGGGTTGGAGACGTCCACCCCCAGCCTGTTTCGGTCTCAGGGTGAGTTGAGGAGTTTGCTTTGCAGTTGTCATCGGGGAGGAGAAATGCGATGGAGACGCCTTGATGGGAGATGGAAAATGAAGGGTCACGTGGAGCAAAGTTGACATACTTGGGCTGCCACACTCTGAGGTCAGCACAAAGAGAATGCGCACACTCACGCACGCACACACGTGACACTTAACATGTGCCAATGACTACTGTGAACACACATGGACGGCATGAACAGAGGTACAAGTTGATAAGACAGCGCTGAAGCAGGGGACTGTTTAGGCCTGTTATACTGCCCCCCCCTCCCCTCCCAAAAATATCTTCACCACTTTGTCAATTTATATGTCAGCCTTTTTTAAATTTTGGTGCTTTTTTGAATCTGCAGTAATGTTTTCCTATTTCTTTGTATCTATTCGTGTGGTTCACCTTTTTTTTATGGAAATGTAAATTTACATCATTTCTAACCGGTTCATCTCTCTTTTTTCACACGGTTGTAGTTTGTGGGTGATGCGTTTGAAAGTTTTTATTTTATTTTGTATTTTCTAAAAAAAGAAAAAAGAAAAAGGCCTTTTGGAAACAAAACCACAGGGTAATTTTGATAGTTGTTTGAAGTGTAGACGTGGGAGCAATTTCCACTAATGACAAAGTAATCTCACATATTTTGCCGAAAAAGGAAATGAATATACCAGCAGCAGGTTAGGATTTGGCCTGGTCTGTTGGTGAACGTAAAAAGTATATGTGTGCAGAAAGACTAGAATAACACGCAACATGGGTATGGAGGTTGCTTTGGACTTAGAACATCTTCTGTAAGAAGCTTTATTAAATGTTGTCTATTTAAAATCTACCTTTTATGTTGAGTCCTGGCAGATTCCAGATATCTTGGAACTTTTACAACATAACGGAACGTAAAGGCCTGTTATGTCCCATAGAAAATCTCTACACAGGTGTTTGTTTTTCAGACTGCATTCACAATCTAGATCTAGTGTTTCTGGGCGCAGGCCACTTCTTGAGTTATTTTATGGAACAAACGTGAGCAAATCAAACCTCAGCAATGAGAATAATTGGCATTTGTGAATCCCTGCTTCAACCAGCGGACTCAGACTATCTACCTGCCGAGGCCACAGGGCCCCTTGGAGACGTCCTTCTTAGGTAACTTTGCCACTTTTGCTTGGAAGAACACAGCCATCCCCAAAAGGGTGTCGTATTTCTTATTTTTCTTCACTGTACCTTCCCCGTTGCTTCACGTCAAACTACCTAAACTGGGCTCCAGAGTCAAGAGCCCACGAATGTCTGAAGCTAAACCACACACAAGCAGTGAAAAAATGAATGCGTACACTTTTCTTTTCATATCATCCTAGCTTTGTACTGATTGTTATCCAGTTGCCTCGAGGGGTCAGGAGCAGTCATTTCAGCAGCCGTACTTTTGACGCTCAGTCTTGTGCTTCTCTGTGGAAATGTGCATGGCCACTGTTTTGCTTTGAGTACATGTTAAGAAATTAAAATGTGGTCTTTATAATGGTTTTTTTTTTCCAAAGAATTTTGTCAAATGATGTTTCCAGCACAATTTAGAAGTGTACTTTTGTTGTCTTTCAAAGTCCAGCTTTCTGCATTACATGGTTGTTTTTGTCATCTTCAGGAAGGGGACATCATTGAACAAAATATTGTATACGGAATGGATTCTCAGGTTTATTGAGATAATAATATATTGCAAAAGTTTTACAGCTTCCTTGCCATCATTTAGCTCACTACCTGTAGTGATGAATACACATTTATCATCACATTCATGTAGAAAAAAAAACACCTCAAGCACTGTCACCGACATCTCGTTCAGATGTATTTTTTGTATCTTTCGCCAAATGTCAGTGCCATTTTCTGTTTTAATCTCATCGTTGTTGCCTTTGTGATCACAAGTAAGATTCTTCATTCAAATCACAGCTAACGGTTTGCAATAAAATCGAAACATTTTGTTTTCTACCTGAAAATTGTACAATTCACAGAAAAAACTGTTTGTATTTAGTGTTTTGCCAGAATTGTTTAGCTTTGTATAGGTGGTATTACAGCATATGTGTGTTTTTGTTACATTTCCATACATGAATAGTCTAAATAAATACTCTACTAATGTTGTTCAGGGGTATGTGAAATTATATATCCATATGCATTATGCAATGCAATGACAAAGTACAATATCAGTTGCTTATTAAACAATAATGAAAAGTTCTGATTTTCTTTTTGGAGTAATTTCTCCTTTAGCTGAGGGAATTGTGCAGCGCTACAGAGGTTTGCCAGCTGGTTCTCTTCCTCTCTCTCTCACTCACTCACTCCGTAGGTCAAACTGCTCACACTTGCATCACGCATTTCCTTGGCCGATTGTCCCAACAATTCAGGCACAGCTCTTGTCGATGGGGACTGTGATTAACTAGAGCTGTAATGATGTTCAACTGCCCTGTATATAGATTAGTGTCTTTATTATGCAAACAACAAGAATCAGGAGGAATCAGGAATGTTTCGAGTGCAAATCTTTTTCATTGCAAACAATTTGTTTGCGTAATAATAATAAATCTACATTCATACCCGTATTGCTCCTTCACCCTGATTGAAACAAGATAACCAGCGAAAAATGTGTTCACAGCTTTGATTGTGTGTGGTAAATAATGCATATATTTCCAGGTTTGTCACAATTCAAATCCTAAGTCTGCAGTGAATTAACTGCTTGAACCTGCCACCAGTACTTGATTTATGGTTGTTAGTGGAAAATAGTCACATAATGCACCTTTTCCATCACACCAGCAGAAGAACAGTGTGACAAAGGGCCAGAAAAATGAACATCATTGAATCATCTTTCAAGGGAAATGAAACCAGAACAAGAAACATGACCCACTGATTGCTTGGTTATTTAAACAGCTGGTCTATCTGTTCATATTCAACACAGCAACAAACAACTTGCAACTGTTTCCTGATATGCTTTTATTTTCTTGTAGCATATACAGTATATTATACATTGTAGTAAAATAATGCTTGTTTTTCTGAAGTGTGCTGCAGTTTGAGGCCTAACGCTGCTCTGCCGAGAAACTCCCCCGTCCAAACCTGTCCCTTTGTGTCAGTGAACGCCCCGTCGCCATCCAACCTACAACACACCAATTAGGACATGAATAATACATTTACATTTGGCAAAACCAAAATAATAAACATCAGGTTTGGATCAACCCCCCGCCCCCCAAGAAATAGTCAACTTTTAAACGGCACAAGGGGAAATTTGCCGAAAATATTTGAAATGGTAGCGTTCAGGATACGTAAGACACTGTAAGAGAGAAACGTCATCTTGTGGTGCACTAAACCACTGATTGCATCGGGAATCCCACACATTGGCTGTCACCTGTTGTGGTGAAAGTGACCTTTGTAAGTGGAGCCGTCTGGGAAGGTGTACGTTCCCTTGCCGTGGTACATGTTGTCTTTGAATTCTCCTTCATAGAGGGCTCCAGAGGGATGCTGCAGGGTCCCTCTGCCGTGCATCTGCTTGATAGAGAACAAGCGTGCGTGACTTGTAAATGCAACCATCCAGCATTAAGCAACAGACATCAGGAGTATTGAACACATACTTTGTCTTCAAGCCACTCTCCAGTGTAGATGACGCCACCCGCTGACGCGTGTTTACCAGCACCGCTCCGCTTCACCCCCTCTGATGCAGATCCGCTGCACTCTCCCTCTGTACAGAACATGGGAGTAGTTATGTGATGAAAACAGTCTAGAGCCGTGTGTTTCAGTGATCACTCACCATATTTGTCTCCATTTGGGAAAATGTAGGACACGTTTATAGGCCCTTCCCCTGAAAATAAACATATATAATATTTCATATTCACCTTATCTGTCAAATGAATATACAATATTAGCAGCCCATGAAAGTTCACTTGTGGTCTGAAAGTGAAAATCAGAACACAATTCAGCAGACAGTGAAGACAGAAAGCACTTTTTTAAAAGTCACAATCGCACCCCACCAGACATCCGTGGCGGCTTCCTCCCGCTGGCAGACGGTTGTCAGAGCCGACAGGACACGCCGTGTCTCGGCCACTTTGTGGAGAGGGAAATGTCAAACAACGCTAATTAAAAGGGGCGATATATTTGTTCAGTGAATCACCCTAAAAAGAAATAAGAAACGGTCGCGGCCTGCGCCCGCGGCAGTCGGCTCGGCGGGTTGTACGCGACGCGACGCAAACTGTAGTTGTCATGGTTACAAGATACTTTGCTTCAAAAAAAGGCAACGTTACGTTTTTTTTGACACACGGTAGAGCTGAATTAGTTAAGCTCAATATATGTCACCATACAAAGTGTAACAACCTACGGACGCTTAAAATAATACGTCAAACGTTAACAAATACTGTATCCAAAAAACCCGTTACCAAACACCGGAAAAGGTACTTTGAACCTTGAGTTTCGACCAATGAAAGACAAGCAGGCTACCGGCATTCTGAACCGCTGCCTCAGGTTTGTCCGCACTTACGAAAGTTAATGCGTTTCTATCACTTTAGTGCTTTATCGCTTGTCATATCTTCCTATACATGTATGGTTTTCTTGGGAATTTAAACCTCTCGACTTGACGTGTGAAAAAGCCTCTCGGTGCGGTGGTTACATCAATAGTGAGTAACGAGCCCGCTAGCTGCTAGCTTGTTAGCTAGCTAGAGCTTGTGTAACTTTACCGGCGTGCCGTGCCGTGCCACGCCAGACCGCACAATACCACGTTATTGCCCACACCAGCTAACGTTAGCTGTTTCTTGCTCTATTCTTTTGTGAAACAAAACACATTCAGCCGTGTCATTCAGCCGCGCGTTGGGTTTAATAGTCATCGTCCCGGTTCATTGCATAATACATGTAGCCACCAGCGCTGTGTGTCATCCACAATCTCGTCGCTCACAGTTCAAATGAAGTTCCACGAAGAGTCAGCCCGCAGCGATGTGCGACACGGCTCTGCAGCGCATGTACAGTATTCGCCTGCGTGCCTGATCGCTACAAATGTCTCTCTCTCTCTTTCTCTCTCTGTCGTATGCAGGATTATTGTTACATTCCCAGGGTTGAGGAGATTTATGGGATCTGTGCATTTGATCTCTTTCGTCCCGGATTGATTGCTGCTATAAAGAGACGCCAATTTTGAAGGTGAGCATGCTGTACGATACCGGCTGTGTTTTCAGGCCATCAATCATGTGTTTGTGGTGATACTTAAAACAGACGCAAACGGTTGTATTCCAACAGAAATGAGTGCCAGGAGGAGAGGTGGGAGGCCAAAAAGAGATGGGGGGAAGCCGGGTGGACGTGGACGTGGCGGCGGTGGAAGTAAGAAAGCAGGAGTTGGTGGCTGGGATGACGGTGATGATTTCCGTCTCGAATTTGGACCCCCACGTCCTAGCAGGTATTAATTCATAGCAGAGGAATTAAACATACGATTTTAAGTTCATGACACTGCCCAATTCCTGATAATTTCCTCTCATGCTCTTTCTTTCTGCTCTTGCCTCCAGACCTGGGAGAGGACGAGGGAGCGGTGTCCGTGGCCGTGGTGGAGGAAAGGATGCCGGTCGAGGAAGGGGGGTTAGAGATCGAGACCGGGGCGGCAGAGGCATTGGGAAAAGCAGAGACGATGGCAAAAGCTTTGGCAAGGCTCTCCCAATATCCCTGGCGAGGACACGAACAAGCCCGAAGCTAGGGGAAAGCATCAGGCCAGAGATGAGCTCCATGCCCATGCAGAGGCTCTTCATGACTAATGAGAACCAAGAGCAACTCAAGGAGCTTCTGCGGAATCTGCAGACACAGGACTTTGATGAGCCCTATGAGTAAGCACATTCTTCTAAGCCTACCTAATATGTGGTACATTATCTTTATCTTATTTTGCATTTTGGCATTAACTCGTGTCATTCATTCTTACACAGTGAATCCGATTCAGATTATTCAGGGGAAGACGGGGATGAGGAAGAATTTGATGAGTTGGATCACCGTGACGAAGGCCAGTTCTGGGCCACTACCGATGAGCCAGTGGAGAAGGCAGAGAGCCCGGCGTATGACACAGAGTCCGATGATGAACGGCCCACCCCTGAACCTGTCATCTCCTTATTTGCAATAGGAAAACTTTGCAGGTGATGATCGGGTTTGTTTATTTTGCTGTTGAAAATGATGCTGCATTTTATCTAGAGCCAGTGTCTCTACTACTGTGCTGTCACGAACCTAAACAATTTTGGGCTTTGGGCCTATGCCCCCCCCCCCTCTCCCCTCCCTGTCTTCTCACCCTTTGTTTTCTCACCCCGACTTTGTATAGGTATGGGTTTGACAGGGAGCGTGGCAAAAAAGCCCTGCAGTCTGGTGGAGGGGAATTCGGTGTCACTTTAGAACAGCTACTCAGCCAGATTTTCATTGAGCGCTACGGCCAGAAAGCAGTGTCCCCTGATGGCCTTGAAGTGGTGCCGATGGACGAGTGTCTCAGCCAGAGGCAGGAGGAAGCTCTGGCACTAACTGCCATCTACGGTGAGCGCTTCAGCGAGCGCATTGCCAATGTGGTCTGGACAGTAACCCTGGACGTCTCGTTCCTCTCGGACAACGCTGCCAAGAATGGTAGACAAGTCGGGAGTCGAGGTGGAGGAGCCGTTAGCATCCGAGACGTCTGCCGATTCTTCTTGAAAGGGCAAGGCTGCCGCTTCGGGGACAAGTGCAAGTTTAAGCACCAGCTCCCCACTAAAGGTAGTTCTAGGGCTGGATCCCCGGACTTGGATGGCCCGAGCCGGCCAGGCTTCAGCAGCTCCTCTCCACCCGAGTATGAACTAGAGGTCCGATTCCCCAGAGGGAACCGTTACCCGTTTCAGGCCCCGATAGTGGCTTTTAGCACCACCGACGAGTCTTTCGGGGCTGCAGGGAGGCTCAGTGTGACTGAAAGATTGTTCGGAGAAGCCTTGGCCGCAGCGAAGAGCAACGAGCCTGTTGTTTACACTCTGATCACTTTGTGTGAGGATGAGACTATCATGAGGGAACTGCTGGCAGTCAGTCATCACAAATTCAGCACGCCACCGCCTGTTGTGGTGCTTCCTCCGCCAGCTCCTACCGTGGCAAAAAGCAAGAGCACAAGGAACAGTGCTGCTGAGGAAAGCAGAAGTAGTAGTAACAATAATAGTAATCCTACAAGCAACAGAAGGATTGATCAACTGGCCAACTGGAGACGAATCGACTGTGAGTCAACAACATGAATGGATTCGAATTATTTGGTGTCCATATTTTCGCCAAATGGATCTCAACTTTGTGTGTCCGAGCGTGCGAGTGCGCACATTAAAATCCCACTTCTGTCTTTTAAGTCAAAGAGACCGGAGAGACGGAGGAGCCGGATGAGAGGGACGAGGAGGACGAGGCCGTTCCAGTCGAGACAGAGAGTTATGTCAATCTGAGGAAGAAGATCGTGAATAAGCACAACCTGAAGACGGACAACGTACTGAAGGAAAATGGCAAGCTGTGCCGAGAGTTCAAGATGAAAATGGTGAAATAAGGCTAATCTTTGCATTTCATCGTAACCCTCCTCTTCTCCAACATGATGTCTGTGTTTTATTGGATTGGTGCTCTCTCATCCTTCTGTTCACCCAGTCATCCGGGCGTTTCAGGTCCATGTTGGAGCAGAGGAAGAAACTGCCGGCTTGGCAAGAAAAAGAAAACATCCTTGACCTGTTAGACCAGTGCCAGGTGCTGGTCGTCAGCGGGATGACAGGGTGGGTCACACAGCGAAGCACTGAGTGCATGCATTAAGATTTAAAAATGCTGCAATGCTTGTGGTTATACACAAGAAGGAATTGGAAAAATTGACTGCTACATCTGGCACTTTTCTACTATGTGATTGGGGTCGTCGTGGCGGCGCAGGGGTTAGAGAAGGTGTGCTGGGAAGCACGAGTTGGTGGTTCGAGTCCAGGCTGTCCCACGTTCCATGTCGAAGTGTCCCTGAGCAAGACACCTAACCCTTAATTGCTCCCTGGGCAAAAATTTGAAAAAGCTATGGGTTTAAAGTGTAATGTAAGTCGCTTTGGATGAAAGCGTCTGCTAAATGACCTGTAATGTAATCAAATGAGTGAATCCAAATTGAATGCACTATTTATCAAAGTGAGGAACTTGAAATTGAAAATTAAACTTTTGTACAACAGTGTTGCAGAAAAAAAAATGCCGTTAGTCATTTTTATTAAATCTTATACAAATCAAACGAAAGTAAATGCATGAATATTTTTAATGACTAACACAATCTGTCCATGTTGGACAGTCATTTTTTTCTTGCCTTTTTCTCATTGTCAACAAATATGTAAAAATACATAAATATTGATCATAGATAATTATTCATAACGCAAATATCTGGTAGATGTGGTCTAAACAGCTCCCTGCAAGAGATATGGTTCTGTTGAAGGTTTATTTTCTGATGCTTTGTTGCAGGTGTGGTAAGACCACTCAGATCCCTCAGTTCATTCTGGACGCCTCGCTGGGTGGACCAGCAGACCAGGTGGTAAACATCATCTGTACTCAGCCACGCCGCATCTCCGCCATCTCTGTGGCCCAGAGAGTGGCACAGGAGCGCGCAGAGCGCCTCGGCAACTCCGTGGGCTACCAGATCCGCCTGGAGACAGTTCGGGTAAAGGCCCATCTGACGTGCATGTGTGGAGTGTGCAGGACTTTTAGACATTGGCATTTGTCACAGGATCCAAATCCTCGTGGCATCGCCTCACTTTATAAGTCCTATTCTAAGTATATGTAGTTAAGCCTTCTGTTATCAAATGATTACTATTACTTATCTAATCACTGGCATGTTTTTTTATGTCAGACGTCCGCTACCAGACTGCTGTACTGCACCACGGGCGTGTTGCTGAGGAGACTGGAGAGCGAGGCCGACCTCACGGGCATCTCACACGTCATTGTGGATGAGGTGCACGAGCGAACGGAGGAGAGGTGAGATTAAGCTGATCGCCCACAGATGTCACCAAAAGTGAATTTTCAATTCATTATGCTTTATTGACACATGTGTAGGAAGGACAATAACGTCATGGCTCGAATGAATAATGATATACAAGAGAAAAGGGTACAATTCATAAATCCGAGAAAGGATATTAATCCAACATTGTGCTTTGAGCTGTCACCAAATAGCTTTTCTGCTTCAGTCAATTCCAGACATTTCTTTCTCAAGCAAGAAAA